ACACTTTATTTTTATAATTTTTTCAATATAAAGAACCGAACCAAATCGGACTGAATCGAAATTGATCGGTTTGGTTCTATAGTTGGATATGGAACCAATTGTTCAATTTCTAAAATTTTCATTGATACTCGTGTGAATGCATGACTTAAGATGAGTATGAAAAATAAAAAATTTTAAAATAAAGAAAATCAAATAAAGGCTAATCATTCTTTCTTGAGTTCTTCCATGTCAGCACCCTCATCCTCATCCTCGTCCTTGGCTCCTTCTCCCACTTTTGACTTTTCCTCATCATGATCGTCCTCATGGTCATCATCGCTATCATTACTACCATCGATTTTGTCTAATTGAATAAGATTAACTTACGAGTTTACACGGGAAGTGAGCGAGACTAGAGAAATTATCTTTTTATAACTAATGTATTAAATTCTATTCCATTATTAAAAAAAAAAAGAAAAAACTCATATTTGTGATAACACACGTCTTTTGAAATTAAATGGCGAATCAATAAAATGAAAGAAATAAATAAGTGAGAATAAGAAGCATGGTAGACGCTAAAACAAAAGGGAAACTTCTCAGATAGTAGAATTATCCTAGATTAACTATATAACTAATTCCACACACCACAAACAAGTTTATCTTACAGAGCTCTTATGAAGAATCTTGTTTCTCTATTCTCTATGCAATAGTAAATTCTTTATGAATCCAACCTCGTATTACCACTTAAATGCTACAAGTGCTTTTCTCGATCTTTTTGAGGAACGAACCGCCAGAGGTCCACAGCCACATCAACCTCCTTTTTCTTGTGAAATTTGTACAGCTGAGGCACATCAAACCGGAGCTAGAGAGAGAGAAGCAAGTCAGACTTTCATAACACGTATTATGAAGATGTCAACAACCAATGTCCACTCAATGCTAAAGGATATGGTAGGCTAAGATACTTTGGAATACTAACGGAACGAAGACAACTAACTGTACGACGATAAGTACCTCACATAGAACCTCAGCGCTGACAGCATTATAATCTCGCAAGGCAGTCCTTTTCACGTGCTGCCATCACCAAATAAATGAGCAAGGGAAGATTTTGACTAAATCACAGGACATACAGCGATATTGTTCAAAATAATGTTTGCAATGGAAACTCAAATAACATGAAAGACACTATGGAGTTTCGGTTGAAGGAACAAAGGTGAAAATCATCTGAAAGCTTCAAAACGCTTCATAGTGCATTTAGCTAAGATGTGAAAAATAGTTGCACAATAACATGATAAAAATGCATGCCATCAAAGTACAGAACTGATAGACGCGATAAAAAGGAGAGAATAACTTGTAGTCAGAGTTCAAGCAAATATTCCATACAGGTCATACACAAATCCCTTTTTGACATTTTCCACTTGTATGTTTTAGGATTGCAAACCTATCAAAGGGGGTATGAGAAAAGTACGAGGGTACAATTTCAGCTAATGAAATGTGATAGTAGAATGAGAAGGTTTAGATGGTGGGTATAGCCAAAGGATAATACGATAGAGACGTATTGAAATATAAAAATGAACATGATTCTAAAAATGTACAAGTAAACTAAAAAAGGAAAGCAAAGAGAGTAATTCCAGAGTTTTATGCAAAAGCACAAAAGAAGTTATGTAGCATCATCAAACCAAAGATAAAAACAAAGTTGTTTATAAGAAATTTCAGTAATGCAATAAAAATGAAGTGCTCTGTTCTACTGCGATAAGATCATACAAGAGAAACTAGTTTGACAAGTTATATGATGTAAGACACAAAAAAAAAGAACGATGTGGGTCTCAAAAGTAAGAGAAGCTATGAAGAAGATGAAGACGAGAAAAACAAGTGTTGTCAATTGAATTTAAAGCAACGTATAGAAGCATACCCAACACATTAATTTTATGGTAGGTGAAATTATTCAATGAGATCTTGAAAGGTAAAACAGTGCCTCAGGAATATTGTAAGCGTGTCACGGTATATCAAGGAAGAATTCAAAGGACTTTAACAACCAATTAGTTCATAATAGGGAGATCTATTGAGGAAATCGCATTAACTGCTTAAGAGAATTAAAAATCTTGCGAAAGAGAAACAAGGTTCAAATAGTTGGTTTGGAAAAGGTGTACAATAGTTCGCATCAGCAAAGTGAAATAGTTTGGTGCTAGGAAAATAAATTAGACATAATTATATATTAAGATTGTACTCTAGGTCTTCCATTTTTAGCGTTATCATGGATGAGCTTACAAGATACATCTAAGGTGGATGTCATATGAATATTCATTCTGGATTACATAGTTTTTGCAGAAGAAGGTAGAGCTTGATAAATTGTAAGTTAAATCTTTAGAGGGACACTTCAAAACTAAAAGTTCTAGTTTAAGTAGAGGTATGCCGAATACACATCTATTCTAAAGACTAATTGTTCCAAGTATTTAGTTTCAGTTATTCATAAAGGAGAACTTTGAGAAAATGACAAGGAACTGATATAGGGATTCCACGTAATCATAAGATTACCAAGTGAAAAAGCAAGTTCTACAAAATGTTCTTAAAGTAACTCCAATTTATAGAATTGAATATTAGGTTGTTAAAATACAAAAAATATATAATATGTACATAGGGTAGACAAGGATGTTACCGTGACCATACTAGAACAAAAATACGAAACAAACATATAAACCAAGAAGCAGCAGATTGACTACTTAACAACAAATTAAGGGAATGATGATTTGCATGTAAGGTCACGTCATGTGTACCTAAAACCATTCGATTCATACCCGGACAAACAAATTGTTAGAATCGATAAACCCAAATCGACATGATCTAAAGTAATTGGAAAATGCTTGATCTCGTTGGATCTTTCAGATATATATAAGTATTAATATAGAAATAAAAATAAAAATAAAATGATGGTAAAAAAGGATTCATATAGCTACCCAAATTTTATTAGGAATAAGGGCTTAGGTGGTGGTGGTTATTGTGGGGGGTCAGTGTTTGAACATTCTTCAAGAAAATGTAACATTAGAAAAACAGAAGCCAATTACGATGGCATGATAATTATAAACTTAGGCAATATTTCTTCCAATAATATAGCATTTCAATGCATGTGGTTCGGCATCTATGGGGCCAGTTGAACATGATCCCTCGCGTTAAGATGCCGAGTCCAACTATCTCAAACTCTATTACAAACTCAAAACCGTGTATTATAGACAAAAAATCTAAAAATCGAATTGAAAAGAATAAAAACAAAACACGGGACCAAAAAGATCCCTGCATTAGAAAATGAATTTCCTCTTCACTTTTTGTGCTAGATCTACTTTCATAAAAAATATCTTGAGTTGACGAAAATGGTTCCAAAAAAAAAATCATAATATATCTGAAAAACATACTAAGATTTAGAAATTTTATGGAATAAAATGTTTAATAGATTTATGATATAATTTCTAAACGTTCGAATGTACCCAAAAAAAAGAGCAGTGAAATAAATATGTCAAACTATTTTTCCTCTTATCCATTCATGATTGTTCGGATAGAGTTTTGCCTTAAGCCTTGAAAACATTTGAGTGGCTACTAAAACCTTTTCCATCACAAACAATCTCAGATTTGAAACAACTATAAACTTACATCTCTTGTGGTGGTCTTGTGCAAGGAATAAACAGCTTGAGAAGCCACCTGATACATTTGAGAATTTCAAGAGATTAAGACCCCTTTAAACAAACATAACCAAAGACTGAGATACGAACAAACCATAGTACAGTTCTTGAATATACCTTCAAAGCCACGAAGAGGAAATCCATGTCAGCACCTTTCCTCCTTGTACCAAATGGAGGATTCATTACTACTGTATCAACAATTCGATCTATGTAGAAGTCAAGGGCATTAATTAACATTTTAAGCTTTTCTCTCCATCAAGATGTATAATTAAGAAAGAACACAAACAGTCATATTTTCTCAATGTATAGAATTAGTACAATGTTGCATTTCCTTGTCAATCATAGGGAACACTGGGTAATTATTCCTCTAATACTATATTTCTTAGAATTAATTTATCACATTTGCAGAAATATAAATTAGTTTTTTTTTTTTTTTCTTTGGGGTTTTGAATGTCAACAGGAAAAGAGATACCTCGCCATTTTAAGTTCCTGATATCGCAGCGAACAAAGTCCATGACTAGCTGCAAATGCAATTCATTGAGAACCAAATATGAAAGACGCCAGATAAAAAATTAACACAAAGGCTTCTTGAAAAAAGCGTTCGAGGTCTTATAAAAATGCGTACATCAAGATCATCGGCATTTGAGGATGCAATTTCAAGAGATTCTGTATCAATGTCAAGCCCAATAACGTGCCTGGTCAAACCAAACGAGCATTAACAAATCTCAGAATTTCGCAATGGAATAAATGCTTTGGTATACATAGAAATTGGACAACATAAACAGGTCAATCGAGCATCAGCATATAAAAGGGAAACTAAGTACTCACTCAGCCCCTAAGAGAGCAGCTGCAAGTCCTAATGTACCGCACCCACAACCAAAATCTGCGACCACCTTATCTTCAACATCCCCAAACGAATTCTCTGCCTAAATAAATGCTTAAAGTAAACATAATCAAATCCCAAAATAGAATTAAAAATAATAATTTCAATTTCTCATGAGAAAATCACATTTAATACTATAACATAAAAATTTGAGGAAAATGGTATCTCTGAAAAGTAGAAAATAAAGAGACGAATGGAATATAGAGAACTACAGTGTACAGCAATCGAGATGCAATATGGGGCCCAGTTGGATATTGTTCCAATTCAATCTGTTGCAGCAACAGAATCATTCGCTTTAGTGACGATAAAGAATTAGGGAATACAAATACAAAGACAGAACTAAAAACCCCCACTCACAAACATATATAACACATAACAATGGAGAGGAAAACCTTAGGGTTCTCGAACTGGTCAAGAGATCCAAGGAGACCTTCCAACTGCTTCAGCTTCATCTTGAAAGGGTGGGGGTGGGGGACTGAATGGTAACGACGGAGAATAGAAAGAAAGCTACAAATTTTTACTAATTTCTGAGCTCAGTTCATATTTTTAATTATTATTATTATTATTTATTTATTTATTTTATTTTTTTAAACAATTACATTTGTTAAAACACCACCAGCCAATGGAATTATGGAAGTATGATAATAGTTATCATGTTTCAATATACAATTTTGAGAAAAATATATTTTATTACTGCAACACAATAAAATCTATTTATTTTTAGAGAAATGTTATGATTAC